TATAAAATGATTTTTTTATTGATTTACGTTTAACGAGAGTTTTTAATTTATTCAGTGATAACTCTCTAATTTCGCTTGGGAGTATGTTCTTGATAAATTTTGTGATAGTAGTAATGAGAATATAATGAATATTTATTTGAGATTTATAGTAGGTTCATGAAAAGTAGTTTTACGTGCAATAAATCATTTTTATATATTTTTTCTATTTTGATTTTAATATGAGCAGGTTATAAAGGTTTATTTACCTATAAATCTAACCTAATTACTAATAAGCTCGAGGGTATTATTGCCCACGAATGGCCGAGTGCTCTGTGATACTGTTCTCATAACCCACATTTCTAAATGAATAAGCAATATGACTCAGACCTTTTTAAATAAAATATTAATATTAAAAAAAAACATAAACGAATAAGTATCGCAATACAGCTTTAAATTTGTTTAAAAAATAAAAATATATATTGCAACCTGGAGGAAATTAAGTACTACGAAAGTTTAAGTTGTTTTTATAAAACGAAATCAGCACTGTTCTATTGTCACTGCGCATGTCAAGGATCTGGCAACATCCGTTTTTCGTTCCAACCGACTTGCTGCATATCCTCAGCTAGTGTCAGGGTTACAAAAACCTTAAGCTACACATACCAACATTAATTATATTATATATTAACATCGTTTTCCTGGAATTACAATAGCAGTCTATTTTTACAAAAATACTGACCGTCGAAATTGTTACTTTTAATTGTAATTTTTGAAAATTTCAATATGTGAAATATCTTTCGTATGTTAATATCCAACACCTGCTAAGTTAAATCATTTCAGATTATATGATGCTTCATTGTGTACCTACGATGCCTGAGGGTCCACCATTTACCACATAACAGTTGCAAATACATATAACGATGACGTTATTAATTTTGTTTTGTTTGTTTCAGTGCGGATGGTGAATACATTTCCACGAGCTACAATATGAGGAGTAATACTAAGTAAGTTGTGAGATAATTAATATATTTTATGGTTAACATTTGTTTAAAAAAATTCGCCACGGCACACGTTATAGAAAAAGTATCAACAAAATGAAACTATCAAACACTTTATTTTTGTAGGTACACTGAATTTTTACTTATAAAACTAATTTTTCCATTGCAAAGAGATATCTATAATTTGTCTTGTGTATGTAGTGGCTGCTATTTCTATCCAGTGTTACGTGTCTGCGCTTTTTTATAACCTATAGAAAATTATTGGAAAATAATATCCAATCTATAAGGATTGTTAGGAACATATCGTATTACTAATACGAATATATTTAAAAAAATACAGATACGATTTTTTAAATCTTCTACTTTTCAAAAAGGTTAACCAGTCAGGATTTTAAATTAATATATATTTTTATACCTGAATATATTATTACTTAAAGCTAATCCATTAATTAATATCGAAATGAATTATGATTTTATCGTTGAAAAAGTATTACGGAAATAATAATTTTATGAAACCCATTCTTTATTTCGCTCAAAAGTTGTTCTAATATTTAAATCGAACGAAATGTTAATGGGTGATTAAATATGTATTAAAGTGTTGAACAATGAACACAATTCTTCGTGTTATATCAACCGCAAACAGGTGATAATATTCACACATTTAAAATAAATTCAATAGATTCGCCGTTTGCAGACCTAATTGTATTTTATACATAAACCGTGATTGGTAATGCATCAATTAATTTAGTACTAATAATCCTTTAAATATTATTGGCAATAGGTTGTATCTAGTTTCTAACTACGCAAACGAAGGCAAGACTGACTTTAGACTGTTCGGGTTAGGTTAGCTTCGAACTAATGGAGGTAACTCTATGTGGTCCCATGGTCTTACGAAACGAACGAAAACCAAAATACGATAAAAACTAAATTACTATACATAGTACATACATTTTAGTAATTTGATGTCGTCGGTTTTTCAGTTCTAGCCATGCCGGTGTCCGCACTCATGAGCAACTATTTAATACGCTTATAGAAATGCCTATAGCACGAATTATTAATAAAACTGTTGAAGCGTATCAATGTAAAAATACGTCGCCTTGTCCAAATATTTTCTCAGGGCAGGCGTTAATGGGCTTGACGAGAAACTTCAACATATGACGTCATGAGGGTCGGTGATTTTCCTCAAACCAGATCTCCTAGACATCCTTAACAAATTTCCAATGCATTTATTATTTTAATATCTTAACCTCAAATCGTCTATGTGCAATTAGGGAAGAGACAAAACAATATTGTGCTTTAGCATTTATTACACCTAAGGTACCTAAGGTTCTCTCCCCCATGGCCCCAGAGCGAAAATCACTGGGGTTGATAGGCCGAATAAAACCACAAAAAAAATATCAGGGATACCATATATATTTAAATATTGTGTCAGTCAAACAGCCACTGGGCCCGTTACAAATTTTTTCGTAAGTAGACATCTATATCTGTTCACGTTTTATGAACATTTTTTTTTATATGTTTACAAGTTGTGGTCTTAACTATCGAGTAATGACCGCTTTATATAATCTATCTATAATCTAAAATTATTTCCGATCCAGACAATCCAGACTGAGAGATCGATCGAGAACCTATTTTAAAGTGAAAATCCCTGTTTTGAAATTCTTGTAAAAAAAGGATAATTCGTAAATTAGCGTAAGTAAACTGAACTACGTATAAATATTGGTTTCTGGAATTTGCTTGATCTCAAATAAACGGAAAAAAACAAGACATAAAAAAATAGTTCAAAGAATATCAGTCTGTAATCCCCCTCAATTATGACGAAACGTAATGGAATCTTTATAAATGCATTTTTACTCGATCGACGTAGGCTGAGTCATTTAATACAAGTTAAATACAAACACAGCCTTCGGTGAAAATATATTTTAATTCATTTAATAATAGAAAGTGAATGTGCAATTGAAATTTTCATTTCATTAAAATTTATTTTTTTGCATTATTTTCATTGTTTTTTTCACTAATACCTATTAAGTATGAAGTGCATACTGGTGCACAATATGCTTTGTGAAACAGTATTCTGGACTATGTCAGCTCCCATTCCACCATGTTAATGGTATAAGGATAATTCCACTAAATGGATACAGCCGTTAAATAATTAAATTACAAATTTATGTTTTCTAGGAGTCGACATTGAATTAATATTTATGTCATTGAACTTATATTATAGGGGTCAGCGTATCTCGTTTACAAGTTGTATTAGAAATTTAAAATGGCGTATCTTCCATAAATGTCACATTTCATTAATGAGTATAAACTTTTATTAATGTGAAAATATTATAATTGAAATTGTGGTAAACCAAGCGAATATAGTCTTAGTAGTATTTATAAATGTACTTTGTTACTAAAATTTCTACCTTTAATTTTTCTTAATGGGTAAGTGGGTGATCAGCTTTCCAGCCTAGACACAAGACCTCGTCTTGCTTTACACTGTCAGCGAGGTATAAATGCGCACAGAAAATCCATTGTGCACAGCCGCGAATCGAACACAGGATCTCGCAATTGAGAGGTGCAAGCCACTAAGAGAACACTGCTCTTAAAGTCTACTGATTCATTAACTTAGTTTAGTGTTTGTTTGTGTTTTATATCCTATACGTAGTTTTATTCCTTCTTATTAATGAGCAAAATATTTTGTATGTTGCCTAATAGTAAAATTTAACTACTACTACTTTAGTGCAGATCTTAAAGAAAATTATACCAATGCCATTTTTAATTAAATAGAATTAGTTATAATAACGTTTAAATTATAAGAAAAAGAAATTTATCACCTGGAACCTCTTAATTGGCATATTAAATCTATTTTAACTGTTAAAATAATGGTATTACGATATTTCTGTTTGTGAGCCTGAAATTAAATAATTTAGCACTGATAAAGTCTAATATTAACACAAATGACAAAATAACTACGTAAAATGACATGAAATGATTAAATTGCAGAATGTTTATAAGCATTATAAGCTTGCTATTGATTATAGAATAAATTTGCATAATACTGTATTGTATACAATGAGGTCGATCAACTCTTCCGTTATTGATGCCACATCCTGAACCGTTATTAACAGGCTCTATTGTTAATAACATTAATATATGAATACTTTAACATGGTAACCCAGATGGGTTAACGGAGGAAATGTATGCAAATTTACTGGTTCTGATTAATATTTATATTTTGAGAAAACTGTTCTCTGACGGTGAAACTTCGGAAGAGATATTTGGTCACATGGTAACACTTGCTCTCTGAAACCGGCATGATTTTGGACTCAAAAACCGACCATCAGTCACCAAAGGTTATAACTTTGCTAAAACACTTACTTTATTAAAATTATCGGCTATAGTCTGCCTCTAACCTCATTGACGGGACATTATATATGTAAGCAATAGCTAGATAAACACCCAACAATAGTTTTGAGCACGGAATATAATACTGTGACCCACCGCTGACCACTGACGCTCAATTTAATTTCATGTTGATTTGAAATTTAAATTAGCCTCTAAGAAACTTGGTGTGCTCAGCAGGGTGGATCGCTTTACTCCGGACCACCGCTTACAACTCTATAATGCGCAAATCCGCAACCAAAGCCGAGCGACTCGAATCGTCATCGACCTTGTTCTGTCTGATCGTCTTTGGTTTTACATAGAAATGTAGGCTCCATCTGCATCATCTATCATGTAGAGTGTTCCGAAGAACTATTCGGATTTATCATCGTTTAATTGAGCAGCGTCTGACATCAGTCACCAAAGCAGAATCCCAATTCAATCCATATCACCTCACCTCCGTGTATTTAAGGCTCTTTTAGCCGCGCACCATCAATTCATGGAGCTACGCTAGCTGTCATTTCAGGTTGTAGGAATTTTTTTGAAGGCGGTCACTTGACGCGGGTGCCTACATCTCTTTTTTGTGACGTCGTGATTTCCCCATTTCGTGTACTAAAGCTGAGGCTTAAGTGTACGCATCTCAATAACATTACAATAATGCAAGTACAGTGTAACCAAATTACTAGAGATCCGCCTAATAAAGTGAAGTCCGATGACAGTGCATCTAGAGTTACGGTCTATGGCAATCTGACCTTAGCATGGAGTCAAAAGTAAGAGTAATCGTCCTTACGCGTAATGTACCGTTATATAGTCAGGTAGGGTCATCGACCTTGGCGACGATGAACTTGGGACCGGTTAAAAAATGTTGACCAACGGGTGATCTCATAGTTGCATAACCGGGATGAACTGCACCTAGAGTTGATTCGATAGATCATGATTTGTTAAACATTCATTAAGGGAGTTTGATATCATTGGAGAAGACGTCACTTTTACTTATAATATTTCCTTAGAGCTGAGGAATATAAAAGTATAAAATCCGAAAATTCTTTTTAAATACGGACATGGAATCGATGTAATATACCCAAAGTACTTGAGAAGCGGTAATTTTTTAGACATTGATATCAAAATTAATAGTACTATGCATGTAAATTTACAAACATTATATTTACTACCTTGTCTTACACCCACCAAAGTTCTGGGCATATATAGATACGATTATCTAGAACTCCAAAGGGAGCTTTCTCGAAGGGATTTACTCGAAGCGCTACTCAGTTTGTATGTTCTTAATAGTTACTTAAGATGTGAAAGCATATTGGCCGTGAAATGTCAAAGCTGCCCTATGATTGCCCTATCAGTGAGGGGTTTTAATCTCACCTACTTTAGTAGAAGGTACTTAAATATTATTCAAATGTAAATCCTTTATTTGCCAAGATAGTGGTACAAAATAAAAAAATCGAACAACAAGAAAAATCCGCACAATCAGCCATATTTAAATAGGCATGCAAATGTCATAATAAGAAGTCAAGTCATTTATTTAAGTAATTGTTAAACTTATGTTCTAAATATTCGGTCATGCTATAAAAGCACCTTGTTTTTAATAACCTAATCACCTTCCCCTTGAAAACATTACACGGCAGCGATCTATAATTTCTAGGAAGGTGATTAAATATTCTTACAGCCATGGAGTAACAATTTTTGGAATATAGCGCGGTGCAACATGCAGGCACCCGCAGCCGTGTTGGATCCCTCGGTATATATAAGCAAGTTTCTTTATATGTTTTAAATAATTTCGGATGCTTCTTTACAGTCATAACTGCTTCAAAGATATACAAACTTGGTACTGTCTGAATACCGAGTTCGTGAAAAATTGGTCTACAGCTTATAAGAGGTCCAACGCCCATGATAGCCCTAACACATTTTTCCTGAGTAATAAAAACTTTACTCACATCTACCGAATTTCCCCATAAAAGGATACCATAGCGCAAAACTGAGGCAACATAGCCGTGATAAGCAATAATTGCTGCGTGTTTTGAAGCCACTTTGCGAGTTCGACTCAAAGCAAAAACAAATTTATTTCGGCGCGTGCATATCGTTAAAATGTTTCCAATTAAGATTTTGGTCTAGTGTTAAGCCTAGAAACTTGGTTGATACAACTTCTTCAATTGACTCGTACCTAGTTGACAAATCTCTCAGTTGAACAATCTTTCATCAGTAACTCCATAATTTCATATTATATTTATATCTGTTTAATTATAATTTTTATATATCTTTAATTTCTATTATTAAAAGAGTAATTCCATGAATAGATGGGCGGGATCTAATTAATGTGACATTGCGTTTTCATTATGCTAAGGCAATCGAAGTCCAAAGCTCCGTCACGCGAATGCATTTACAATTGTTTTTCACATACTCGTTTATAGGGGCTCATTATACGACAGGGCCGTCATTTTGATGGACTGATAGATAATGAAAAAGATAATTTTGTATGTCAGACATTTATTAATAACTATGTATCTACTAATATCAGTGAAAAGGATGATATGAATGATATTGCTTTCACTTATGACGACAAACTACTGACATTTGCGTAAAGCAACTTTTGACCTCAGAAATGAATAAACAATGCTAATAATTTTCGAAAGATGAAACCAATTTTCATTTGAAGTGAATCAAAGTTGTCTTCAAATGTCGTAAATAGGCAGAGTTGGTGCCAAACCTGTTTATAGCATCAAGATAAACGTTTATTCCTTCTTTTTACTAACCAAGGCTACTACCATTCTTGAATTCGATAGATATATCATACCTACTAGATTAACTGCACAGAATTCTGATATACTGATAAATAACTTATAACTGCCACCGTAATCTAACCACAAAAAATTGTCTCAGCGGAAATCAAAACCTCCTTTTTATTACTTGCGGAAATGCTATCACTAATACCCTCCCGCGATGCGTGTAGGATTCAGTATGGAAAGGTTATATGGGACTATGCAAATCGACTTAAGCCTCTATGATTTCCCAGCATTACTAGCATCATCTTAACCATGAAGCTAGTATTTCGTCTGGGACCTCACTAAATAAATTTTTTCTTTCAGGGCCTCCTTTTGGGAGCAGAGAACGCGGCTTGAAAAGCGGCTGATGTTGGCCGTGGCCGTAGTGGCTGTACTGGCCGTCGCATTCTTTGCAGCCTTCCTTGCCACCATCATGATGAGGCCTTCCACGGATGTCAATGGTGAGTAAACTAAAAGTAGTTAGTCGCGGCATAAGCGTGTGGTGGTTCGTTTTTGCTTTACATATAACAGTAAATATTTACTAATAATTTTATCAGATTTGTATTACATAGTCTCGAAACTGACTTGGCTTGCTAACCGGCAGAGAACCTATGTGGTCAACTCTACCTCAACACTAATGTCACACAAAGGCCGACCTTGTGTCACGCAGGACTGAACACATAGACAATTCACTGACTTTCGGCTATAAATGCAATATTGTAGGCACGTACTTTGCAACGTTAATTTGTTGTTTGTTGCAACATAACCCGCATTGTTAAATATAAATTGCAACTATTACGACTCACGAATTGAGGAATAAGTTGTTATGAAAGTTCTCTTTCTTATTTAAGTGTGGACATAATTACTTTGTTTAGGTCTTTGCTCTCTAACTTAACTACTGTAGATAAACTACAGTCGGTACATAGTGGTTAGAGCATGCGACTCTTAGGTTGTGTGTTCGAAGGATTCAAAGAACATCATCTAAGAAAGAGATGCAATCTGAAGCCAAGCCAAACCGTACGCATTGAAGCGCTTCTGAATGTTTTAGGAATATTTTATGTATCGTCCTACACGTATTTAATTATACAATTATTAATTTATGTACCAATTTGAAATATATTCAACTATCTATACACCGATTTAATTTTATTTTTCAAGCGTAGAAAAAAATTAAATGTTCACCTTGTTCACAATGTTTTATAAAGTATTGGAAAAGGCTTTTAGTTGGTTGGCTGGTTGGCGTGGCTGTTCTAGGTATGATAGAGTCGTATGAGTATAATTTTCGGGAAAAAGAAAATAAGATGAACTATGTGTGCGCGTCCTTGTTTGTTTCCATATTTGTAGATTTTGTAAAGGGCTGAATGTCAAGTAGGATGTTTGTAATAAGTTTAAAATATTTGGGGTCAATGTCGACCACTGAGTTGTGTTTGAGCCAAACATTACGATATGACATATAAATATATGAAACAAACCGATTGTTCACAATCAAACCTCTGCTGTACTGTTACCCACTAAGTGACAGAGACATTTATTCTATTGTATATCGTATATCTGCTTGTAATTGGATCACTTGTCTTAGCAAACATTAACTGAACAATATAGGGACGCTAACCAAATCATCAAACATCTTATTCACCTCGGAGATATGGTTAACTTGATATGATACACTAAACTGATAGTCACAATCTAACCAAAATGATTTGATGTCAATCCTACTCACTTGATTGTATTTCGTTGATATAATTTCTATAATTACACCTTCGTCTTACCTTTATTACTCCAGTTATTGATCAATATCTTCATTCCATCTTTTCATGTTACATCTACATATCAGCGTTCTCGTAGGAGAATGTATGTAATATATTAAAATATTATGTAAAATTTGCTATGCTATGCTAATGAATATCGTACTAAGCTAACTCGTATTAAGAAGGTTCGAAGATTATGTTACAAATATAGTTCGTAATTGCTTTTTTCGTCTCAAGGTTTTATACAATATACGACCTTTCTTAAGTATCGATCTTCGTATTAGACTTTGTGAAAACATTGTGCTCTCCAAACTTACCTAGGCTCTTCCGTTGTACGGGCCTTGTATATCTGCTAAAGCACAACGGTATCCAAAGAGTACAAAATTCATGCGCCCGGTTTTGTATTACCATACCACCTCGCTCACATATCACCCCCTATTTGAACAACTTAAACTTTCTAACAATGAAAGGTCGACAGAAATTGTATTTGGCATGTTTGTTATTTGATGTAGTATATACTAAACAACCTGAATATTTATACAAAAAGCTCCTCTGGCGTAGTAATGCCAACAAGCACCAAGTAAGGAGTTGTACTCAGGAGCTGGCCATTCCCCAGCAACGAACGGCTTCATTTCATGGGAGTTTTAAATATAGCGCGACGAAGTGTTGGAATAATATCCCTCCTCCGCTGAGTCTTCAATTAAAGTCAAATTTTAGTCGCAGGTATAAGACACATCTACTTCCCAAAATTCAACAAAAGTCCCATGAAATTTAGTTTTTATCCACCCAAAAAAACAAAAAATATCTACTTATTAACAATTATTCTTATTTTTAACTTTTAATTTTATCCTATTTACTATACACTCTTACACACGATTTTCATTACTCACACTGCTAACTTTAATATTATTATTATTATTTTCTACTAAGTATTATTATTATTTTTATTTTTCTTTGCTACTGAAGCGAAAACTAGCTGCTGTGGTCTCTGGCAGAATGACCAGCGCTGTGGAACTTTCTGCTCCTCAGCATAATGCTGAGCCAGAGCCAATTACAACCACAGTACACACACATTGTACACTTGAAGCGAACCGAATTGCAAAAGGGAATTTTTAATTTTTATTGCTTTTGATATCTCTTATTTTTATTTTTTCTTTGAGTATTATTATTTTGTGTCTTTATGTGTGTGTATGTTTTCGTATGTAATAAATGTTATGTCTATGTCTAAGAAGACATCGCTCATTAGGAATATGGCCACCCTTAGCAATATTTTGTTTTTATTATATTAAGTTCTTCTTTTAATTTATGTAAAAAACAAACATACGTTATTAAAACTATGATTTGCCTGATTCAGTGCTCCCCGCGTTGAGCAAAGTTTTTGAAAAGATAATGCTAGACCAACTTTCTTTACATTTTAATAAAAATAAACTCTTACATCATAAACAGTATGGTTTTACTAAGGGTCGCTCCACAATCGATGCCGGCGTGAAGTTGATTTTGGAAATATTTAACGCCTGGGAAGAATCATATGATGGAGTCGGCGTCTTTTGTAACCTGTCAAAGGCCTTTGACTGTGTTCATCCTGATATATTGGTTGGAAAACGTCAACACTATGGCCTTGATGGCAAAGCTTCCAGCCTGATGAATTTATATTTGAAGGGAAGGATCCAAAGAGTTCATGTCAATGGAGTCACCTCTCCGGGTTCGCAGGTATCAATCGGCGTCTCCCAAGGCTCGATTCTCGGGCCTTTCTTATTTCTAATTTACATAAACGACCTCCCATTCATTGTCAACGAAGTTAATGAGATGGTATTGTTTGTTGATGACACTTCACTTCTATTTAAAGTGAATAGGAATAATGAATTATTGGACGATGTAAACAATTCTATCTCTCGTATAGTTAACTGGTTTAATGTAAATAATTTACTGCTCGATGAGAATAAAACAAAATCCAGTGGATTTACTGATAAGGACACGGCTATAATTGTGTATCATAGCTACTTTCACAGCGTTATGTTGTACGGTATTCTACTGTGGGGTGCTGCTGCAGAGGTTCAATCCATATTTGTGCTGCAGAAGCGGGCTGTTCGGGGTATTTGTTGTGTTTCTCCGAGGTAGTCGGTATGGAATAAGTTTATGGAATGACACTATCTGGTCAATACATTCTTGAAGCCTTGTTGTATATACAAAAAAATATAAAGGATTTTAAAACAAATGGTGACTTTCACCCGTATAATACGCGAAATACAACTAATTTAAGTGTAGTGAGCCTGGTTGGTTCCAAAAGATAAACCACTCTTTATATAGAAATATTATTCTTTTTTACAACATACTGCCAAGCGAAATTAGAGAATTATCGCTAAATAAATTCAAAGCCCTAGTTAAACAGAAATTAATCAATAAAGCTTTTTATAAATTTTAGGAATACTTAAATGATCCTAATCCTTGGGATTGATATGTTCCAGTTCAAACAATTTGTATGACAATACTTGGCGATTAAAAAGAGTGGCGGAACGTTTCTTGCCAGTTCTCCTTACCCGCTCTACGCCCTTGACTTGCGAACTGGTAGTCAATGTAAATTTACAATTGATTTGGCTTCTTTTGACGATTCATAAGTGTACTTGTTTGCCTTTATGAATAAAGATATTTTGAGTTTGAAGTTCTTATTTTTTTTAAGTATAATCGTTTATATGAACATTTGTAGTTAACGATAAATAAATATTCATGTTCAAGAAAAAATAATAAATAACAATTCATCAATAAATTCATATTCAAATATAATAAGTTAGTGAGCAGTTTTACATATTACTATTGAACCGACAGTAATAATTCTCGCCAGTGCTTTTATATAAATTACAAGTATTAGTATTTAGTACACTTTAAAAACCAACTGCATTTTTTTTTACTTAATAGGCATCGATCCAAGTTGGTCTGATGAAAATACAAAATTCCTTTTTTTAATAGCATTATTATTTATAAACACAGACAACCCTGAATTTATGGATCATTTAAATGTAACGAAGTTAATGTGATCGGTTATTGTGTATTCTGTAATTACATTGGATTCGTATGCAAATTATGGTCTGAAAATTACCGTCCAGTAATTATTATTTTCTATACAAGAGTAATAGAATCGCTTTTGATAAGCAGTTTCAGTAAAGCCTTACCGTGTTAATCAGAAAAGCAACTCATTTTGTAAAGTTACCTGTAGTCGAACTTGTTAACCACTACACAATTGAGACAGTTAATACAAGTACTTTCTTCTCTACCTTATAATGCTCTTTTAACATATCTATAGTGGACAGAATTTAGACATTTACGCATAATAAGATAATTATTAAAAAGTATTTTAAATTAATTTCTAATACTGCCAATCTAATGTCTGTAACAAGACTAATAGACAATTGATATTGCATAGAATTTTTGACATTCAAAAATAGAATTAACATACAAAATACTTTTAGCTTTATTTAAAAGGACCCAAAGACCCACTATCCGTTTAACATTTATATTAAAATCTTCATTTCTATTAAAATATGCACTGTCGGAAAAGATCTACATGTAAGAGAGTTTATTGCACCGTGCTTGTATATTCACAAAGAGGTGCTTTATAAAGGATAGATTAACGCTAGTACCAGCTTTAAATTTTTGGGAAATTCTATACACCTGCATATTTTTATGTCGAACAGTCTTGGTCTAGTCAGCAATTATGCTACTTTCCATCATGGTCGCGTGTTCCAGTCGATAATATTTTTATTTGTCCAAGTAACACTTGGTCATTCGGTGGCGGTTATCGTGAGGAAGGCGCAGAAAGCTGTTCACCTACTGTTATCAACGTCTAAATTTGCGGCCATATACCGTATATATCATAATAAATTGGTGTCACTATGATATCGTGAATTATACATATAAAAAGACTTTAAAATATATTTCAAATATACGATATTTGCAATTACTATACGTGCTTTACGTTACGTTTGCGATCGTAGTTTGTATACAATAGTCAAAACAGGAGCAGCAGCTTCAGAAATGACAGGATAATATAGCTTATGTAACAATAGACTTTTTGTAGTTGTCATCGTTATTTTATCTTGTTCCAGATGTTCCTCAAACCAGCGAGCTCCGTTTGCCAGAGAAATTCCCTCCAGCAGTCATTGCTAAGAGCGACGAGCCTAAAGTCTGCAAAGATGCTGACTGCATTCATACTGGTAGGTTTATTAGATGGATGACTGACAATTGAAAAGAAAAAACAATTCATCTTTTTTATATTATTAGTGTCACTATCGTTTCATTCATTATTAAAAACAAAAGGACGTAATTTCAGTGTAATTGTATAACTTTACGACCGCATGGAGAATTCACACATCGGTTTTTCATTTTACAAAGCTGCAATTACGTCACGTAGGTATTATTTAATATCTGCCAAGATGAAGATTATACAAATATTCACATTGAAACAATGGGTCGTTACTTACGCTGATATTGCGACAGAAATTATACGTTACAAAAACTGAATATATGCAATTCTATCTTAATATGAAAGTGTTAGGTAGTCTTAGTCCTTCTAGATTTTTCTTATATCTTAATTTATTTTATAATAAAGCCTTTAAAGTGTGGTTATTATAACACAAGCGGCCAATTTCTCCGTTAAGTATTTAACTCACATAGTGTATTACCATAGTTCTATTCTTTTCGGGACCTTGTACTCGAAGAAAACGATCGATACGAAAAAACCTTATTAGATTTATGATGTTAATACGAGGTTTCTCAGAAAGCAATAGGAGACATAATAACGTAGGAAAATCATGCCGGTCTTCCTAAGTAAACTAGGTCGCAAATTAGGCCAAATCCCGATAACTGGAAATTTAAAGTGAATTATGGAACGAGAAATGCAGGCACATTTTGTGGTTGCTTTATTTATTAAGTTTAAAACCGTTGAGACAGTTGCCTACTATAATCTTATTATTTTAGATATATTTAGAACCTACTTGGAAACATATTGGAGTAGTATGATATTTCATGAAACATCATCAAACTTTATTCATACGATATTGCCTACTGATGTAGGCGATATATTAGCTTTTTGGGTTTAGAAGTAAACGTATCTGGAATATTAAATATCAACTATATTACAGCATCAAAACTGTTACAAAACATGGACGAATCGGCTGAACCGTGCGACGATTTCTATGACTTCGCCTGTGGCTCCTTCGTGAAGAACACCCGTATACCGGACGACAAAACCTCAGTGAACACCTTCTCAATAATTACGGATCAGCTACAGGAACAAATCCGGTCACTTCTAGATGCCCCAATTGTTGCTGATGAACCCCGCCCCTTCGTTCTGGCGAAGACGTTGTACCAGGCTTGCATGAACCGTAGTGAGTATTTTGTCATGATCTTATAGCGCACGTGAAAAACTTACCAATTTGCTGAAAGTCGCAATACACAACAGCACACCTAAAGACAAGCGCCGTGAATTTTGATATGTGCTTCAATTTTTTCTTAATTTATTCCAAATTTGATTATTTTAAAAGAAGTTAAAACATGTTGACGGGATTTCATTTTTTCAGTTATTAATAAACTTAATTGTAAATTACATGAGAATCTGAGTTTCCATTAGCGTAGTAATTATTACAAAACGGCCATATCTGATGTAGTTGGAACATTAGATTGATGCTGTCTGTCATTAAGAAATTATCTTTTGTAAAACAATAATGTAATGTATGTATGTAGACAAATTGTATTTAACAATGATCTAATCTTTAGGACTTAATTTAAGATCATTAGATGTCAAATTATATGCTACTATGTTATAAGCTTATTAAAAATTATTTATTACCTACCACTATTTTTCCTAAAATAATTATTATTTATACAGCTGTACCAAATAAAAGAATTGTTGACCTAGTGACTAAACGCGCGACTCTCAAACCCTAAAGTCGGGCGATCGAATCGAATTGTGTATTAGTATACGTGCACATTTATCACATGTTCAAAAACTGACGGCGTATGTCACGCACAGAATGCAGCTTAATAAAATCATAAAGATATTGAAAAAAAGCATAAAATAATAAAATCATAATGCTACAGGTAGTTTTATCAAATAAAAATTCCATTGATATTTAGCCAAAATTATTTTCACACGCAAGTCTAATGTCAAAATATTTCTGTAATTGGTTTTGTGTAAACCGATACGCGGTCGCAGCATAATAGTTATATTACAAGTGAAAGCAAACTTCCGTATTTGCACAACAGCGATGTTATAATATGCATTACACGTATCATACTGATAACCGACAATATGTGTTATGTACTAAGGGTTATTTAGAAAAGGGAAAATGGCACCAAGTTTCTACTCTAGCTAACCCGTCCCACAATTACTAACTGTACTTTTTCAGCTGCTATCGAAGCGCGTGGTATTCAACCGCTCACTGACATGCTTCGGCGTCTTGGGGGCTGGCCCGTGCTAGATGGAGAAAATTGGGATGAGAGATCGTTCTCGTGGGAGGAATCCGTTTACCGCTTCAGACACGCTGGATACTCTGTAGACTACTTCCTGGACTTCTCTATCAGTGTGGACGTTAAGAACTCTACTAACAGGATAATTGATGTAAGTGACTAATTCTTAATACTTAGTCTACTTTACAGTTACAGTACGAATAACATCTAGTGAATATAACATTGACATATTTTTTTCAGACTTATTTATTTTTTCATCGTTTATTAGTACAACATTTATAAAATATATATACTGTTGAACTAATTAAATTGATAGCTGAGCCAAAACAGATTACTCCATTTTCGTTTATAAAATGGTATAGGTTCAGTGGCTGATTTTAATGGGTTTAAATAATTGGTCCTAGGCTATATCCTGATGAAACAATTTTATTCCGTTCAAGAACATTGAAGGGAGTGATACAAACACATACGCCTTAATGACGACGAGATTTCATATGCTGTTTGACTCATAATATTAAAATAAGAGTTTAAATTTGGTAGACATTAATCAAACACGTGAATAGACTTTTCTATAAAAGACAAAAACATCTATAGATAAGCATTACGGTATGACTTTGAATATGCAAGAAGTATCTGCGCCGTTGTTTAGAATAAATTATAAGATCTGCCCGTGTCTTGTTAAACTTTAACGAAATTTCTTATCCGTGGAGAATAAAGTAATAATGTCTTAGATACGGCTGTTTTTGTTTTCGCCCGTGGATTACTTACCCTTCGTGAATTTTAACGAGTATGAGTCTCTCATATCATCTACGCATATACAGTTATACACATAATATTTTTTTCTAGAGATGACAGTTACCTGACATGTAGCTTATTACATTATAGCGTCTGCGCCATTATCTGTATTATTTGTATGTAATATACATTTCATCTTATCCTATACAGCTGATTGTAGCTTTTCTTATTTAAATTTTCAGTTGGACCAAGCATCTCTAGGTCTCAGTCGGGAGTACTTGAACCGTGGCTTCAAGGACAAGCTAGTCCAGGCCTACTACGAGTATATGGTGGATATTGCGACACTACTTGGCGCCGATAGAGCTAGGGCCGAGGTGGAATTAAAGGATTCCCTACAGTTCGAAATTAACTTGGCTAACGTAAGTTTCTAAAAAGAGTATTATTAAAAACGCTCCTAAATTATCAAGTACCTACAGATAATCTTTAGTTATTTCTAGCACAGGTAATAAAAATATGTGCATACAAAAATCACAGCGTAACATCACTAGCTACATTGTTTTGTTCACAAAATCGTTTGTTCCACGATTTGTTCTTTGTTTAAATAACTTCAAACTGTTTAAAAATATTATTGAAATGAAAAACCCGTAGGAGACGGCCAAAAGTCACGTACTTTATTCTCAATCGAACCATTGCATTGACTTTAAAGAATTATTTTGTAAACAAAAAAGGTGACTCTTTCACAAAGTCACGAAGTCTTGTGAGGCGTTAACTTCTTTCGGATAGAAGGTTATAAATATATATAATTACTACAAGTCGTTTTTAGAGATCTGGGTTATTCATTGAAACTCAACGATTCTTTAATTTTGCTGTTGGTCTTACCAGCTGTGCCTCGCAATTACTCAAGTGGTATTTCATTACATATGTTGAATTGTATCCTGAATGTCCTGACCACAAAGAGCAGAACTATTCTGCAAGGTATTGAAGGATATCAATGGGGAAAAGGGAAATATAATATTCTGTTAAAAAATCATTAACATCGAAATTATTCGTGTCTCTTATTTAAATGTCTATCGGGATTATACAAAATATTTAAATAATAAGCTTTCGTTATATAATTCCAACTGCACATAAATATTGGTCATATTGATAATATACAGTCTTAGGTGAACACAGAAAACAATTTTTTAATTTTAATGTAAACATAATTAACATTTCTAAACGCATTCCTTTGCAGATATCCTTGCCTTTGGAGAAACGTCGTAATGCTACGAGTCTATATAACCCAATGACAATTACTGAATTACAAGAGAAATTCCCCAAGTAAGTTTAGTCATCTTAATATATATATTTCTTCTGTGCGTGTGTATGTGACTGAACTCCTCCTAAACGACTGGACCAATTTTGATGAAATTTTTTGTGTGTGTTCAAGGGGATCTGGGAATGGTTTAGATTCACAAATCAGCCCGACAGATGGCGCTGCAGTCGGTACTTTCATACTTTGTTTAATATCTTAATCGGTTGAAATATCATGCAGGACAACGTCTGTGGGGTCCACTAGTATTTATATAAATTTTATCAATTAAAAATTTTTAGCCCTTACAATTTTACAATTTTGCAATTACAATTGACTATTTTTTTAGATTTTTACGAACTTCGTACCTCAGTGACTTTTTATTTCTATAATATTATATCGTTTTACTTTTTACTATATGTTTTTATATTAATTATACAGAATCCCCTGGCTTACGTATGTAAACAAACTCCTCGCCCCACACGTTGAAGTTAGCCTAGATGAAATTGCCATCGTCAACGTTCCAAAGTACATTACAGATCTGGAGGTAAGTTTCCATTTTATTAATTAACTTGCGTTTAGTATGAAGTAGGAATAATTTATTCCTTTAGCTAAAAACAATTGAAGTTGAACTCTTAACTTGAAAACATTAAATCTTTATCTTGCCATGAATCACATCATCCTTAAGTTCAATAAACCAGAATCTTCTTCAGTCGCGCTTTTCATATCTGAAGATCATGTTAGTTTTCCTGAATTTCCTTCACTGGTTCCAGTTGGGCTCCAATTAATCGTTAACACCTGAAAGTTTTTTTAGAATTATCTGAAAGTTTATGTTCCTCAAGATGTTGCTTGCTGTTTCACTAGTAAAATGTACTACTACTTAAAAGCAACTTGTATATTTTTTGATGCTAACAAAAGTAACATGTTTAACGTAGATACACTTGTCTTCAGATTTTGCTAGAAAAGACTCCTAAACGCGTGCAGGCGAATTATGTCATGTGGCGAGTTGCTGGCGCGTCTGTGTCTTATCTAACTGAAGAGCTTCGTCGGAGGCAGTTAGCTTATGTGACTGCACTTTCTGGTAAAACTGAACGCGAGAGCAGATGGAAGGAGTGTGCTGATACAACCAGTGCTAGGTTCGTAATAAAACTTTTTGCCTTTTAATATGCCTTTTTCAAGCAGCAAACAAATTTATAGTCTCAAAGATTCGTAACTTTTTATTCATGCCAAATATGATATAAGTGATGATATGTTTAATTAATTTTAATTTTTTTTCAGTATGTCGATTGCAGTCGGTGCACTTTACATTAGGAAGTACTTTAACGAGAAGTCTAAATTCAAAGCTTTGGAAATGGTTGATGATATTAGGTAAGAACTATTCTTATTTGTGTCTTGACTATCTCTTAGGAAGATGAAAACGTATAGTTACTGATCAAACCCTTACTTGCGATGGAAATCTGACTGAGATGTAGTTTCTAGATTTTCTGATAGTGCTTATTATTATTTTTTGGCATACAAATAGGCGAATCAACTTATTTGCGAGGATGAATTGGCTTTTATCTTTTACAATGTGTAGTACAAGATTTTTGCATCGTGTTTGCTAAACCACTACCTTATATTATAGACAACAGTTCAGCAAAACGCTGTCAGAGGTGGATTGGATGGATAGCATGACTCGTCAAGCTGCGCTGGATAAAGCACAAGCCATGGCTTCACATATCGCGTACCCTAACGAACTTCTGGATGATGAAAAACTAACACAGTTCTATTCAGGCGTAAGTTTACATATTCTACAAAAAAAATATAACAAAGGCATGTGTCGAACCTATTAGGACAATAACGGGACTTCAAAATAAAGAACAAAGCCTTTGGAAAGGTAAAATATATAAAAGAAACTTTTTTGTCTTAGAGTACGTGACGTGGTAGAAAATATTCTTTCAATATATGGCAGGCGCTAAAATTATTAATTATATTCCAGTTGGACATGTCTTCAGATAAATTGATGGAATCCGTATTAAATCTGACTCTCTTTGGAACTGAATACCTCTTTGGCAAGCTTCGTGAACCCGTTAATAAAACTGACTGGGTCACCCATGGCCGTCCCGCCATCGTCAATGCCTTCTACTCATCCATCGAGAACAGCATTCGTAAGTTATATTATGACATATAATTCTAAAATTGTTTATCATACTAGCCATCATAATAGCTAGGTAAATTCATAGTTAAGAAATGAAACACTAGAATAGATTATAATATGGAAAGAAACGCCATGATGATAAAAAGGCAAACCAACTAAAGTCGGGTAATTTCAACGTTTTTAAGGAGATTGACCTTGGTTATAGGCTGGATAAAAAAGCTAATGAAGTGTTATTTGTACAGAATTTCCGGCTGGTATCCTTCAAGGCAATTTCTTCTCGGCGAAGCGTCCAGCTTTTATGAACTACGGAGCTATTGGCTTTGTTATTGGACATGAAATCACTCATGGATTTGATGACCAGGTTTGTGGCTATATATTTTCAGATTGACAATAAATAAAAAACTTGCTATTTATTAAGAGAATTATGTAGTTATCACTTAACAAGCATGAAACATTTATTTAGGTTTTGATTCTAATTACTTATTCTCATATAGGGGCGACAATTCGATAAGATTGGCAACTTGGTAGACTGGTGGCAGGAGATTACCAAGCAGAAGTACTTGGAGAAAGCCAAGTGCATCATCGACCAATACTCTAACTACACAGTCAAGGAAGTCAACATGAAGGTAACTAATCTCGTTTAAATAGAGACTCGGTGATGATGTTTAGTTTGTAAAATATTATTTTAAGACTTTGATGAGATTTAAGTTTTTTGACCACTAATAAATAGTGTTAAGTGTTCCTTTGTTTTGTAATTACAGTTAAATGGCGTTAACACCCAAGGTGAGAACATTGCCGACAACGGTGGCATCAAAGAGGCGTACTACGCGTATGAGGCCTGGACCCAACGTCACGGTGAAGAGAGTCGGTTGCCTGGACTCGAAAAGTACTCCCCACGACAGGTTTGTTTTCTTTTATTTCAACTAGAAACAGCTATTAGTCCAATTTTCGCTGTAATGCGAATTTATTTTTTATTTCAATCGTATTTCACACTACAATTTTGAGCTTTATTATGAAGAAATGTGTTTTTATACAGTAATTAATTGTAAATCATAAAATATTATTTATAAAGATAATCTCAAAAATATTCAAAGATCTTCCATATTTATACACTACTACGAGGTAGCAGTATCTTGAAATGCAGCAGTTAAAAGTGATATATATCTATATCGTGGGTATAAATATTTATATCATGCTTTCTAGATGTTCTGGTTAAGCGCGGCAAACACCTGGTGCTCGGTCTACCGGAATGAAGCCATTAAGATGCGCATAACGACTGGTTTCCATGCACCCGGCCGCTTCCGAGTAATCGGACCCTTGGCCAACATGGACGAATTCGCCAAGGACTTCAACTGCCCACCAGGCTCTCCGATGAACCCACAGAACAAATGCAAAGTCTGGTAGATAGCGGCTTACTAATAGAGGGATCTTAATCATATTCAAGAGCTGGCTTGAAACAAAACCAACTTGTTTTACCCTCTTATAAAAATGCGTATTTCAATCACACTTCGACGAAACAGCTCTCAATGACCAGTTATGGAAACCTTATATGAGTGTATCGATAAAATTTCAAAAATAAAAATTTCTTAAAATCAAGAGGAGAGCGTACCACTTCTTTAATGACCAGCATCGAACTTGAAGCCTCCCTCATAGACTGCGGTTAAATGAAATAAAAGGTTATGGTAAAAAAATGCTTATATTACATTGGAGGTCGATGAACTTTTATCCCTAAAACAATTACTATTTATGAAATATATTTTGTCCTTACCTGACAAAGCAATGCTTCGTCAATGATGAAACTGTTTGATAGCCCTTCATTTTAAACACTATTATAACTTGTTTAAAACATATCAGTAGTACATATGTTGAAAAAACATATTATTTTTTATATTCAGACTCTATGTTATTCTTCGATTAACGACGACAGATATTTATATATGTACTTATAATGTTTAATATGGCATATAATCCTTTAATGTTTTAATTTAATATTCAAAATTACAAATAACACTGACCGTGCGTACGAATTGCATGTAACAATAATAACACCTTCATATTCACAACGTTAAAATAAGTTGTTATTAGAATCAACCAAACATTAAACGGAAATAATGCTGTACGGATTATAGTTGTAATATATATATATATATATTAATAGTTCTACACACACACATTATATTGCACAAATAGAGTGCGTTACTCATAAGTATGTTTACTGTATTTTGATGTTGCTTTTAAAACGAAATTGGTGAGATTTTAGACTGACGATGGAAATTGAACGGGTCTCAACTTTAGGCTTGTATATAACAAGTACAAATATCACTTTCATCATAAGAAAATCATTGAATAAAAAATTACAAAGGTTAAATCAACTTCCACTTTTAAGATACTTCCTGAAGTAATAAGTTATATTTCATTCAATAATATTCAAGGAAATCCGATATATAAAGTCTAATTGTACTGCTTTATTTATATAAAGGCGTAAAAACGAAGATTATCTTATGAAGAATGAAAATAACTCTCGTTATGTTTCTCTCAACAGTCGATTTTTGATGTTAGTACTTAAGTACCTTCTAGAACTTAAGATATAGTATTGTTTATTCATATATTAACATTTAGACAATGTAATTTTCTTGTAGTAGCTCGAAGATTAAAAAACCTATATTTTGAATCGAAATACAATAATATTATTTCAATATACTCAACGGAGTAAAGTGTAAATATATGAATAAATATTTGTTTTAGATAGTAAAGTAGTTATTTATTATGTGTAGCTAAAAATAGCTTAGCCAAGCTAAATGTACTTTATTACTGATGTCGCTTTTTATCTGCTCGCAGTCTATCACTGTATTTTATTAAATTTCATATCAGTTATGGACAGGTTTTGGCATTGTATCATGTATTATAAGAAAAATATTACAGATTCCGAGTTTTGGTATTAGCATTAATATTTGTATTACTAGACGGTACAGTTTATTAGAATACATACGGAGTTTCACAAATTAGAGCTAGAAGTAACAGTAACCATTGCAGCTTGGAATAGATGAATCTTGTACTTACGCTGTAATATGTCAATAGTTTCTTCAATGTTATAATATCACTTAGTGCCATGTATTGCGGATTCAGATTAGAAATGTTACACATATTTTTGCACTCTTGTCGAAATAATTTTTTTTTACGCATTCAACTTCTAAGTATTGATATTGTTTACAATTAAGTTATAAATGTATTATCTTTTTAATCGGAATAAAAATTTAATAAAATTGCGTTGTTTATTTTAATTTAGGTATCTGTAAATAGCTGGTGAAATCTTCTTATCAACCTTACCAGTTATAGATGAATACTTCAAGCTTAAATAAATTTAGCATTTACTTAATTGGTCCTAACACAAAACCTAACTTAAATTTTATATACTAATATGTAAAAGTAAACTAAGTACAAGTTTTGGCGATATAAGGCTATTTAACGGTATTATTATGAACTCCTACGCTTCTAGTGTCGGATGGCTTGTGCCAGCGGAACCTTCACGTAAATTTCTCAACGGACTGTGGACTCAAACAGATCCTTTTAAATAATTATTTCTTCGATTATCATCAGTTTGGAAGTGACTCTCAGAAATGGCAAAAACTTTAATATACATTTTAACAATTTATAATATTTATTATATTGTAATTGTAAATACAATTTGTATGTATGTATTTACAATTTTCTTAACCACCATAGTTATAATAATAATTAAAAATTAAAAAATAGAAAATTAAAACAAATGTAAAAAGGTTGGTTCCCGTGGCAGTGTACCTTTAACGCTGGCAGCATTTTCTCGATGTATTGTGATACTTATTCGTAGAGCGAGGAAAGCACCAGCTTTTGGGTACCGGTACTACTCGTAATATCTATCTACGTATGTACAAATTTCATATATTTGAATTGTGAAGGTTTTCATTTGTGAAATGGTTGGTATTCGGAATAAATATGTTTCGATTAAATGTAACTGTTTTCTTTTAAACTTTATGACTAAATCGAAATTCTGGAAAACGCGACAGGAAGCGGTAAAAGCGTTAAAGTGGTGGATTTAGATTAGCAAGTCGCACTTCGCAGTATTCGGTAAGATGTGGCAGCGAACGGCTGTGCTGGTCGTTTTAATAGTTGTGGTGAATTGCATCGATGTTCGGTTACTCAAACGTTATCATGGATCTTCAATTAAGGTATGTCATCAATATACCGTCGTTACCATGGCAGTTTCGGCAAATAATTAGTTTTAGTTTGACTGGCGAATAAACATATGTATATGTTTGGGTATACTCGTACTATAGTATTAACAATAATATAATATAATATATTAAATGCTTTGTGTATAAAAAAAACTATAATACTAAATTAAAATTAAATTAGTGCAAAAATCCTAATGTATACGGTGATGAAACTTTTTCTGATATATTCCTGGGACGGACGCTTTGATAAGAGAAATTTTTTTTTAACTTTTTTAATCGATGAAGTATTGCAATTGGGTATAAAAATTGTATTTTACCACTTGTACCTTTCTAATTAAAGTATCTGACGAAACAGAGTCAGAAATTTATAAAAGAGTTCTATAGAATGCCATTCTAATAAATCCATTCACTGCTATTTATATAAGAATGTCTAGATATGAAAAAAAACTGCTTTATTTGCGTTTCATTATATTTCCTTATTGTTTATAATCGTTACTTTGAATTTGTCGTATCCAATTGAACTCTCGATACCCATTTGGTACAAAATTATATTGTATATCAAGCCGTAAACCGCTTTCGTTTTTAATACGTTGCGACGTAATTAGTATTGTTTTTACCATAAATTCATAATGAACGAATACTCTGCATTCATACATTTTTTTGCTCATGAGAAGATTCTCTAGTAATCACTCGAAACTGTTATATCAGTGATTACACTTTTAACGCGATTTGAATTCACATTATAAACTATCTAAGGTAGATTTTTTTTATTGGTTACACTCACCGCAGATTGTATTCCTCTTTGCTTAACGTAAAATTAAATTTTAATGAGATATTATAAACCTACTAGTAATAATAATCAATAATTGTTAAAAATTGTTGAAAATTTGAAAACAAATTTAAAATGTTTGGTCCCTGTGGCAAGTGTACCTTTAATATTACGATGTAGATTAAGAATATTGTAAATACTGTATATTTCATTTACTGTAAAATGAAAAACGATCCCGTCAGCCATCTTCTGCGATTATAATTCTCCGTGGGCCTATAATTAACCTTTAATTTCACATTTGACGTGATACAAAGCAGCATTAAAATACGTTTCGAAGAACAACATCCTTGCCTGGGAACGAAGCTTCATCGTTCCCATATTTTCCCATGTTTTCCTGTCCTATGTCTTCCTCCAGTAGTATGCCACCATATATCAAAAGCCATATTCTTTTAGTTACGCCAACCCTCCTTTTGTGAAACGTGGGTAATAATTTTATCCCATTGACCTATGCTACTTCACGGAAGTTCTATCCCTAAGCAATAATTGATGATTTAAATCTTGTAAAAATAGTGCACAAAGACAAAATATCCGATTGTTTTATCAGCTTCATCGGAACAGTGAGTAGATGAGATTTAACAGTGTTGCATGTTAATCAAGCATTTTCTTTTAAATTGTAACAAACAGCAAAATATCACGAAACACAGTATTAACTGTTTGTAATTACTACAAGTCGCTTCCTGACACTCTCCGTAATTGAGTGATCGCTTTTTAATAATGCACTGAATAATTAGGACATACAGGCATCAAATCTATTTAATTTAAAGTAATAGAGCGCAGATTTGCTCCAATCGTTTTTATGTTTTTAATGGAGATAAAACTTTAGACTTATTTACTTTGAAAAATTTAGCTATATTTGTCGCGAATGTAAATTATAATAATATTAAAATTAAAATGTCCCTACTGTGTGAAAATATGTAGAACTGTGTACATAGTTGGGAAAAAAACCTAAAATATGCATGTAAAATAATTATGCAAATAATGAAATTTTTACTTGCGTTTTATTATACTGTTTGGTAAACTTAATTAGCGTTTTAATTGTTAAAAATTCAACTAACTACATACAAGTATTTATAACTATTTAGTCTTGTATCTTCCTCGGTACAAGACACGGTGCGTGTGCGCCGGTTTGACGCTCATTATCATGCCGGCTGCACGTCAGCCTGTCAAAGTCATTGATACGTCTTGCGTTTTACAGAGCAGTCATATTTCCTATAGTTGTTTAAGTTATTGTTTATTTATAAGATACAAGAATCGCATTCGTAGATCTCTGTACTCATTTAATCAGCTCACTGAGGAAAGGAGTGGTTCATTAAGAGTTAACAATTACTCAATTCATTTTGAAAATATAATTTTTAGATCGTTGCCTACTCAGGTGGTGTCATATATCGATACGATATTCGAGTTCCTTCTTAAGACATTAAACAACAACATTAGAGATAATTTAATCATCAAAGTATGGAATAAATACAGAAACGTGGTGGTCGAGTATTCGGGTATTATTACAAAAAGTTTCGTGTTTACTTTAAAGATCAAAAGTTATAACGATATACCTAATAATGTAACTGAAAATTCTTCTGCCACTTTCATAATTATGTTTGTATTAACTGTGTATCGCAAAATTTAAAATCAATGGCGACCGTCTTATTTACATTTAACGATTTCTAATTTAACCACTGTTTTCATGCGAGTGTACCAACTTCAATAATACCAAAATTGCGAATGTAATTAAAATATAAATTGACTGGCATTTTAGCGAACGCCATATGACTTAAAATAAGATTAATCTTTCCAACAAAATGAACTATGTAGAGTTAACAAAAACGTAATAGTAAAATTACAATTTCAGGTTGATTGCTTCGATTATCCGGAGCCCAAGGACTTTAAATATTTTAGAAGTCTAGAGGAAGGTATATAATTACTACGTATTTATAATTATGACAACTTCGGTATGCCTCTATTTATTTCAATATATAAATTCGTTCAAACTGAAGGTTTTTTTCAATAATTACACTTTTACTAATATTGTTGTATGTTTTCTAGGTTACCGTAAAAAAGAACCACGTTTTATTCACACTACTCCAAAATACCGGCCTCCTCCCAAATTGGCACGTCGATCTGATTACTACAATAAGGACGATATCGTCAAGGAGCACGCAAAACTTGTGCAAGACATCAATAGCCTTCGCCAAGTACTTTTTGTGCCACCCCTGGCAGATGAAAGCAAGGACTACGAAGATTCTATATTTCATGAGATTTTAGAGACATCTACCACAGCTAAACCTATGGTGAAAACTCATAAACAAAGGAATGGTATACCAATTATATTAGCGGGTACAGCGAGTCAAACGGTGACCACCCAGCCAGTCAAATTAAATAAACAGACGATTAATTTAGTTGGTTCTTCTGTATCGCCGATTGTAAAGCATCCATACCCTTTTGATATGCCTACGAGATCACCGTTAAGGATTTGTATGGCAACACCGTTGTCCACGAGAGATCCCTATGCGGCCAAGCGGAAACCGAGCTTGTGGCAACGGATCGTTAACACGCTTAAAATCTATCCTAGCTTTAAGTTATAGCTGTAAATGTAGGATTAAAAAGTAGTATTTTTAATATGGTATAACACGTAAGCATTTGTTTATGTACTGTTAGCAATAATGAGCTGAATGCTAACAGATAAAAAAACAATTCAAGCCATTACTTAAAAAAGAATACAATTATTTCTGCTTTGTTCAACCTAAGTCGACTTAAAAGTGTTAATTTAGCTTATTATGGTTCTTTAACTAAGGATTACCGTGAACTTGACTCAATTAAATTCAATTATTTTAACTAAAATAACTAACTTCACTAAAAGGACAGACTGTGGTTTATAAAAACTTTAATTGTCGATGTCTCCTTTGATGCGTGCAACTATCGTAGATATTAATTGTGTAAAAAGAACATCATGTCCACAGTTCCCTCTATGTTAAACGTTAGATACGCATTAGCTATTAAGATGATGTTGATCAATAGTTGGCATAAATAGTATTTAATATTCTATGAGCTTGATAGTTTCAGCTTTGTAACTGTTTGAGTCACGTGTTGTACTTACGCCTTTTAGTTCACATATTTTGTCTAACTCATACATAGTATGACAAAATATGTTGTAAATTATATAAATTTTGAGTAAGTTTCCTAATCTCCCCGACGCGTGTGGTGCGGAACCTTACTTTATTTACATATTCTGTATAGAAAATTCGTGAGGATATTTATATTCCTATTCCTCGGTAAGACTCTTGTATCCTATCTATGATATTAAATTAATGTCGATATCCTTATTCTTCTTGAATTTCGAAGTAATCTGATAAAACCAGTTAGCGCGAAGTTCTCGCTTAGAATCTTAAACCATGTCTAGAAATCTAAAGAGTTATTTACAAATTGTTCAGGAACAATCTACTTTAAGTAAGTAACTTATTTTATTGTCTTCATGACTGTATATTGCCATCCTTTTTCACCCTTTTATATGTTTGCCATTACGTTTTAATAGGGTTAATCCATCTTCTGATCATCATGATCATGATGATCATCTTTCCACTTTCCACACCTCTTGGCACATCCAACCTCTTCCATGTGTTCTGTTTATTTTGATCGTGACGATATTGACATTCTCTTCAAATTTAAAAAGATGTGTAATATGTTCCTCAACTTCTCTTATGCATGATCAAAATTTTTATACTAAAGTATGATCAATTAATTCTCAGTATTTTCGTTCTATGTTTATAATATCTAAAGATTATCAAAGAGGTTATTGTCTGTATAATCAATCTATTTAAATGAACATTGATCATTCAGGCGTGACGTAATTGCACAATCATGCTAATCAGTCAAGAAAATAGTTTGTCATATCGTTAGGTTATTTAAAAATACATATTTGAAACATACGTGATATTTAAACATTAAAATACTCCCATAAGGATTTATTTAGTTTTTTATCCCTTACTCCGCTGGCGCAGCGACAGATAGGCCTTAGCTTAGGTACCAACGGTTATACAACATAATATTTAAATATATTTTATGAATCAACACATGTTCCAACAGTAACAAAATTTCTACAACAGAACACATCACTTTTTTGTTTTACTCTATGATTACAGATATATTTTTTATTTAGGGAAGGATCTTTAATAGGTAATAATATGTCTTAGTTATATTGGTAGAGCACTAGTATTAGTTACCAACGAAAATAGTATAAGTATCAACAAGACAATTTTATATGTATTACAAAAATTAAAAAGTATTGATGTAGCCTTGTTCAGATTTGCTTACTCGCATTGTATTAAGCGTTTCGGTAAGTACTGCATATAAATTTAATTCCCATACACAACAGACTAAATGTCACTCATTTTATACACAACATAAAACTAGAATAATATTCTTTAAGAATAGTGGGAGTAATACGAGGCAGTTTAATTATAAATTTTAGAATTTCATACAAAAACTTAAACATCTTATATTAATTGAATATTTTTTCTTTACCAATATATGATTATAGTTTGACAATGTATGTAAATAAACGACAAAAACATTGTACTAATCGAGGCTTCTAGTACGTTTATGGTAAATCTTATGCCTTAATAAATAAAAGAGAACCCATTATTTGCTTATTAATTTAATTAACCTTAAGTCATCGTAATTGTTAATAGACAACAATACAGCGAACAATACGCATCAGTCACGCAAAATATGAAATTGAAAGGCGAAAGTAAGAATTCATTCAAGATAGGACAGAATACATAACATTCTTTATCACATGTAACAAAAACCTTTTAATCACCTAACATTAGTTACGAATATAACTGTAACTTATGTGCCTAACACATATCGTCGATTTTTGTGTATTAGATATGTCAGTATCGGCCTATCTATCGGCCGATGCCTTCACATTCCCAGAAAATCATAACTGTCCAGGTAGAAGCAAAAATCCATTCGTGTATTGTATTTAAACGCCCGGCCTCAGGGATGGGAGTTACAGGTCAACTCTATCTGTATTTATTTACTTGTGTATAATGTATATATATATATATATATTATATATATATATATATATAAATTGGAAAGAATGTGGAAAGACATGTATAAAGTTCAATGATATAGTTTAATTCAATTGTAGTCGATGGGGTGCACTTTGTGGTGAAGTTTGTTAAAATTCAGAAATTCTATCAAGTCGTTATCCTACAGTAAATGAACCTGTCCAATGGCCCTGTTTGGCGAGAAGTTCGCTTTAAACTCCATTTTAGAAATATTTAGGCACAAATGTTGTTAAACTTAGAAATAACATACGATATGCGATGATGTATTAGATATTTTACCTAAAAAAGTCTTACGATGTCCTCTGTAAATATTAATATATATAAAAACTTAAGCTAGCTTTAAAAAAATGCGATTAAAAGTGTGGACATATTGGCAGATTGACATCAAAAAGTACGTTCAACTCAATCAGTGCAGCCAATACTAAGAAACCAAGATAGACACATGCGCAGGTAATGCCAACTTTCCAATCTAGTTGAAATTTGTTTAAAGCAAGAGCTCCGTACAGTGCAAACAGTGTGGACAACAGAGAGATGGCGCTATACGACAATCCACTTGAATTTATCTGAACCTGAAACAAATAATAAATTATAACCAATTATGTTTGTTAAAAAAACCACATCACCCAAGACAATATTAGTTCTTCATGTGCCACATACGTCTCTTAGCGAGTTAAGTTATTACACTTTTCTAGACATCATTAGCAAAGTACTTACCCAGTGGTTACCAGGTACGCCTGGATAGAAGAGGGACTTTATAAGCCAAGGGAGACCCAGGCAGAGGAGAATATCGAACGTATTTGATCCAATAGAGTTACTTATTCCCATAGAGCCGTGTCCTAAAGAAAAGTTAAATAAGTATATCTATAATCTGTATAACAACAAAGAAAGTGTCAATTTCATAAAGTACTGGTATTACCGTGGTTAGTCACAAGAACGCTGGAGACGGCTTCAGGGAGGCTGGTCCCTGCAGCAAGAATTGTCAACCCAGTAATGCTATCGGGAACATTAAGAGTATCACCTAGGAAAACATAATAATAAATTGTCTATAAAATATTAAATCTCATGGTCGTGATTTTGGGATCAACTCTTCCACAATATCCTTTACAAAAATCCTATTTACAAAGAGTAACCATATACTGGATTACCACAAACTTTCTTAAGTTCTTGTCTGCTTTGATAATTACATTTATCATTATATTATTATTAATTGCTTTTCGCACTTCCTTACTTACCAATGATAGTGATTATCCAAGCTACTATATACGAAACCCCACCAATCCAAGTTACACACATCATGAAAGTGAGGGGGTAAAGACGTGGGTGTTGTCTACAGTCAGGTATAGTGATCCAAAGGAGTAGACAAAGAGGCCAAGTCACGACCCAGAAGAATTTCTTTGTGGAAGACATACCATCCGGCCAGGACCAAAGATAACTGTTGCTTGATTCTAGAAAAAGCAGATTGTATGAGTTACAACAAGGAAATCAGTTAGTAACTAGTTTTCAGTCAAAATTATATTATAATTAATTATTGTATATATAAATCGTTATTTTTTTATTATTAAAATGAATTCTTATGTAGAATTACATAAGTAATCTATATCATAAATACCTGTGTCCGTGGAGTTGTTGTATCTTTTAATAAACTTTGTCCCCTGTTCCACATCGTTTATTTTTTGGTTTTTCACGGTGACACGATTTGCTGTATCCAATGAGTTCTTATCTAAAAAATATTCAAATTCTTTCTCTGCTTAGTAAATATATGCCATACACTGGCGAAATTAACAATAAGTAAAAAATACGAATTAAAAATGTTTTCGTTATGTTTTTAAATTTCACCAAAATATATAAATAAGCTCAATGCTGAACGCAAAAATAATCCTATGATTATTTTAATACGACTACTTTAATTGTTTTGCTAAACTTAACATGATTTAGAAAAGAGGTTGAAGTACCTTTAAACAAAAGAGGAGTCACCTCTGTGAACAGTTTTGGCTTTCGAGTGTAGCAGCATCCACTTCTAACAAAATTTCCAAGTTTGTCGTTAAATACCATCGCTGGAAATACATGTTATATTGTTTATATTTAGTATTTTTCATACACTGAACTTACTACAATGTAAATTCCATAATGTATCAACAAATGGCGCCTCACCCAGTATATAAAGTGTGTACATGAGAACGAGTAGAAGTGCTTCATGCCAATAAACCATATCGTCCAATAAAGTGAGGATGAGAGCCAGAACGGCTACTGCATACATCAGACAGTCGCGAGAGATAGACCACCAGTCTAGGTCTATAACCTATAGAGTTTTAAATAAATTCACATTTAAAACTATTTTTCTTTTGTGGTAAGATGGTCTGTAATTAAACTGTGTAACAAATTTTATAATAGATTATTAACTATTTAAAATACTGTTGTTCCTAGAAAAGCAATAGTTTATTTTAAAAAGCGGAGTAAAAAATTTCTAGTACCCTGCCGGCAACGAGGGCACAGCATGCTGGTACAGCGAGTACATTAAAAACTGCTGAGCCAACGACCGCACCCACTCCCAAGTCTCCTTCAGTCACGAAAGTGCCAACACAATTTATAAATAGCTCTGGACTAGAACTCGCTGCGGCCATGAATGTTGCACCAGCTATGTCAGATTCCATATGTAGACCTGTTAAACATAAGCAAGGAAAATTGTGGTTTAAAAGAATCAATTTTCTCGCGGTAACTAGAACCTAACATCTTGTTGCTGCGCTGTGACTTTTAAAATAGATGTTAAAAAATCAATAATAAGGAAAGAACGAAAAATAACTCAAATAAAAAAATCTTAACGTATCGGAAATAACTATTTGGTTCGTAAGGATAATTGTTTCTAGGTTTTAGGACAATTATTTAAGTATCAAATTTTCTGCGTTATAAGTAAACAATTATTCGTGTAAGAAAAACAAAGTCAACACAGCCTCTATGTTGATTATGTATTAATTCTATGAGGCCAAGACCGTGGACCTGCGCAGCTATAAACTAATCTATGAGCCCTCTAAATGTGCGATACGCAATTGTAGTGTGACGTGCTCTCTGTTAATAGATAAATGGATGGCTTACGCTACAAACAGTTAGACGTGGCAACATTATCGGTTGGGTAAAAAGGACCAATATGCTAATGTATGTATATACGTTTTCGTGTTTATTGTTATTAGTGTATTGACTATTATATTGTTTTTAGTATATTAACCTTATTTAGTATATTTACTAAGTAAAAATGAATGCTTCTTTGAAATGATGGATGATTGTATGTATGTCGTACGGAAAAACGAGCCGTGTATTGGCTGTACCAATAACCGATATACACAAATCAGGAAATTCCCAAGTTCTGTTTTATACACTACTTACGTTCACATATCATCTCGATAGCGGGGACGAAGTAGTGCTCGCAGACAGCGCCGAGAAGAAGAAAGCAGTAGATAGCAAAGGCACAATGCAATAAGATGAAGCCCTAAAACATAGGTTACATATCTCTTATAACATAATATACAGTAAACTATATGTAAATTATAATTTAATCCATGTTCATTGCGTTAACCCCTAATAAGCGCTTATATATTTTACCTTTGCGGTCTTTCAATACAATCATCATCAAAAAATAGTCAACAATCTAAAAGCCTACAACAATACAGATGAGATGCTTTTATTTCACCAGTATATTCCATGTAAAGTATTGCTAAAGTAATGGATGCCTGGATATGTATCTAATAGAGAGTCAGCTACTGCAATGTCTCCATACCATGTGAATAACATAAAACACAATCTATTAAAAATAATAAAAGACCATTTATACACTTTAAATGCAATGATATAGAGTAGTAGGCTTTCCTATACAACGCTGTTGTATAAGTTTAATCATCGAAATCATTTATTTTTAAACATTTGAATAAAACAATACCTGTTGTCTTTGATTCCTGTTAAGACCATCCGAAGGAAACTCAAGAATGGCTGGTGAAGTACAGTTCTTTCCATGCACATCAATTGATAACAGATGACGAGAAGAGAACTCGCGTCCTGTTAAACGTAAATATAATAAGTAAGATTTATATAGAATTTTGCTATTTTTTCTGGTTTCTAAGCGCTGCGGTGACCTAATTCGTCTTAGTGTATAGCCAGGCAGGCTAAGCATAAGCATAGAATTGTATTAAACAATGAATAAGAATTTTAGCACCGCATTAAATCTTCAGTTCTACTGGGTTCGTTAAAATAGAGTGAGTATTATCTCTGACCCAGAAAGCGTATAATAACAACATCATCGAGTGTCAAAAATGCAGTACAGAAAAAAAACAATCACTTTTATCCCGTTTGGTTAAAGATCAGAGCCGGAATTAGAGGTCTGGAGGCCTCAGGGCAACAAAAGAGTGGAGGCCCCCAGTCCCCAAATTATTTATGAAAAAAAGTTGTCAGTCCAGTTTTTCGATCAAAAATTTATTGTAAATCCAAGTAGATCTATTTTCGTATTTAACAAACGTATCAAAATATATCAAAAGAAAAGTGGTTTACTAGTGTTTATTGGTCGGAATTTAAAACATTTTTTCCGAAGACTCTATTTCAGGGGCCCCTCTATTGTGGAGGCCACGAAACTGTAGGCCCCGGTTGCCTTCCCCTAAATCCAGCCCTGTTAAAGATTTAAAAAGTTTGATATTTTTATTTTTTATTAATAATAAATATACACACAATTAATAATGTAGACGCATAAATACTCGCACTTGCTATTACTATATTAATAATCAGGAAAATTAAGGCTACATGATATATAATATAATAGCGATTTAAAAGCGTCGGTGCAAAGGAAAATGGTCAAAAGATTAAAAGAAAAGCTTGTAGTATATACGTGGCATATAAAAGGTATATAAAAAATCTGACCATATTGCTCCATTGCTCGTGATTACATTACATTACTCAAATAATTCTTATATATCTCTTGTCTTCTAGTAATGCCCTCTAGTGGAATATTATGTAAACGTTGGGCTACGTGTGTGTAAATGCGTAGAAGCCGCGCTACGACAGACAATAAAAATACAATAAAAATTTGTATGTTATATTATTATTAATTTTGTAAGCTGTCGTAGCTTAAAAGGTCAAGTCAAAGTCAAATCATTTATTTCAATTAGACCACCTAAAATGGCACTTTTGAACGTCAAAAAAAAATACAAAATGGATTCTAGTTGCCCCTTCCAAAAGGTAGTTTCGTGTGGAGAAGAATGGGCAAGAAACTCCACACTTACTCTTTTAAAATAGTTTTACATTATTTTGTTACATTTGCTAAATAATGTGGAACATGTATACTAAAAAAGTTAGTATACATGTTCCTCACATATTTACAAATATCGAAACCGTAGAATATTAACATTCATATTATATATTATATTATATTCAGGTCATAGACTGGTTTGTTCAATACATATCTTGGGTTCATATGCCTGAAAATGTTTTCGTAGACAAAACATTTTATTAAAACGTTGTACGATTAAGATGTTTAAAAAATACAACTTTGCACAATGCGAAAAAATATATAAATATAAAATGCTACAGTTTATAATTGTATAAATATTATAATATATAATATTAAGTTATATATAATTACTGCTTTAAAAGACAACTACTCTCACATTATCAAAAACATACAGCTAATAATATTGCATATAACTACATTGACAAAAAGAACGCTACCATCGCAGTGGTGTAATATTCGTTAAAGACATTCGCTGTATATGTTAAACAAAATTACCTGCAATTTTCTGTTCACCTACAATCACGCCGAACAATAAATAATGCGCGAAGGGAATTCCCAAAAACAACACTCGTATTAAAACAGCTGTATTATATTTACACTTAGTCCGAATCAACATATTGGCCATTAACGTGAAAACTTTATTATATACAAAAACTAAAGTTGATTTAAATAAATCAGTGGAGATAACTTTAAAGCAGCTGTCAAGTGAAGAATTCGAATAATTTTCCGTATATACAGCTCAATGTCATTGACTGGTATACAATTTTCTAAGAACGCCAAAGCGTCCTGCAATATTTAGCTTTTGGTAGCAACTGGTCTTCACGACAAGAAATTAGTGATTACCGATATCGCCTGGTTATCAGTAAATAAACTTAAGCTGGTGACTAGGATTCGATCAACATGTCTTCGTAGAATAATCAATATTGGGTTAAGAAACGAATTTATATCTTATCTTTATGACTACCTACCTGCATTTGCAGTAATTTCTTATATAACTTGAATGTTAAACTTACTGCAAACTAATGTTTAAAAACAAAATCGGTTTTGAATACGAAAATATTGTTGATTTTTATTATAGATAAGCTACTTTATGAGCAAGAAACAAGAACAGAAGAAAAGCAGAATAGTATAAGAAATATGAAATAATTTTTTTTCCCCGTTTATATAAGCTATTAGTACAGTGTTGGTCTAGAGGCTTCAGCATGCGACTCTCAAACGCTTTTTCCCAAACGAGTAGGACTTACTTCATTGCTTTCACACGATTGAATCCTTTCAGTATTTCAACTCAACCACTCGATCCTGGAAAGTAAGTGTAAGTCTGCCAAGTCCCAAAGTCAACGTTAAACTTAGCATTTAAAATAAGTCCATGTGGGCAAAATGAGAATATTATTGACAAGTGAAGTGATCCTATATAAATATTGTTTCAAGGCAGTACGATGTTGACATGAATAAGTAAACAGCGTAATTGATAATCACGATACTCGATTGATAAACGCAATATAAGTACCTTGTAACGGTAAGAGTGCATTGTATTAATCTATTTTATAACTATAAATAAAAACCTCTCACTCCCAATAGTATATGAAGTCACAGTTATTGCTGGTTTTCTCTGATAATGTTTATTTTGCCATTATTTTACTGGGATTCAAATTTGAAGAAAGCTAATTGAGGCGTCGCGTCGATTGGGCTTATAAATGTATAGTGTAGTAAGTACGAGGTAGTTTATAGACAAACCCACAATGTTGGCCTTTTTCACATGAGTCGTTTCAGCCCTTACCCAGACCACAAAAGTTAAAAAACGTGTACATTAGAATAGATTTTAGTATAGTCAAACAGCACAAATATCTGAAAATGTAAAATGTCTGTAGTGCGCGTTTATTATTATTTAATAAATATTAAAATGCATTTACTGCGTGGACTGCAAAAATTCATATAACATAATCTATTCAAATGACATTACATAATATACAGTTTAATCCTCCAATTATCAACAGAAAATTCCATTAAAAACCTCCTAATCTTTAGATTACATATTTGAAATGCTTACGAAACTTTCCACTGCTACCCGTAGATTGAGAACTGCGCACACTACAAAAGTGTACGGACACGATGTGCAGCACAGACAATTTTATGATGGGTCAACAAGTGAAGCAAACATGTCATATGAGGTTATATACATAGGTCGGTGGACTCATTTCCGCACTTAGACTTATAATTGATCCGTTGTACCTAAAGTCCTGGCTAATTTAGCCAGCCTCATGTCATATGAGATATATTTATGAATTTATTGTTTTATTTTACCAAAGACGCAGATAAAGAGAAAAGATCACAACTCTCATAGTATCAAGTATGTACCATTACTACTATCTATGCACTTTTTCCATCTTATAGGTCCCTTATACTAAAAAAACCTTTCGGACGGGAATCAATAAAATGTTTGAAGGCGGTTTCGACTGCCCCATCAGAGTTGAACTTTTACCTTACTTTACTTTGCAAGAAGTTATCAAAATTTCGAAAAAATGGTAATCTGTTGGAGCAAAGTCCGGGGAGTACGTCTTAAACTTTACAATTGAAGCTCCTCCAATTTGGTAGAAGTCTGTTGTGCAGTTTGTGGTCTAGCGTTGTCGTGAAGCAGCAGTGGCCTAGAGTGATTTACCAGCCTTGGTTGTTTAGCAGCTAGTTTTTCCATTATGGTTTGCAGTTGCTGACAATAGACATCTGCCGTCATCGTCTGGCCAGATTTAATAAAGTGAACGACTCCGGCACTAGTCCACCAAACGCTCACAACTAACTTTTTCGGAGTCAATTTTAGCTTGGGGCACGATTTGGGTGGATCGGCTGGGTTCAGCCATTGCGATGAGCCCTTCCGATTATCGTACAGGATCCACTCTTCATCACATAATATGGTTAATGATTCGTTTTAAAATTATTCATAATTGTGCTGGTTGAGTAATGTAACGCAGCAGCGTTCGTCGACTTGCTTCACTCAATTCGTGAGGTATCCACCTTTCAAACCTTTTAACCTTCCCAATTTGCTTCAAGTGGATTAATACAGTTTTATCACTAACATCGTAGCCTGCAGCTAACTCGGACGTGGTTTGCGATGGATCCACTTCCACGATAGCTTTCAATTCTTCGTTATCAACTTTGGTCCGTCCACGGGGCTTGTTCTGTAGGTCGAAATTTCCAGAACGAAAACATTGGAACCAAAAACGCACTGTGTTTTCTTTTGCGACACCGGCGCCATTAACATCCTTCGAGCCGTTTCGACGCGATATTTCAAGATTTCCATTTTATAAATAGAGTGACGCAAAGAAAAGAAACGGGAATATGAAATAAATCATGGTTTTTTTTAAACAAATGCACGAGTTAAAAAAAACAACACAACGTCATTTAAAATATCTGACTATGCTAAACAAACAAAAGAGATACGACATATCTAGCACATTATTCATAGCCCTTAAAAAGTTGTGTGTTGTGTGTTACGAGTAGAGCAGACTCACGTGCTTTCTTTTGCATAACCTAAACATTTACTTTAATGACTTAAATTTTGGACAATCAAACAGTTTCAAACAAAAAATCAAAAATATTCAGTTGGAAAAAATTAAAAAACTTAATTCCTATCTGAGAATAAGCTTTGAAACCGTATTACTAACTATGAATTAACTAAACTATTGAATGTGACCTCCGTGTCGGCACGCGGCAACAATTACTTTTAATTACTTTATTGGGTGTAACATCTGACTCAGATGATAATTAGGGTCACATTGAGATTTTTCATTCATATTATAAAAAGTACGGTCCTAAACGGTGTTTAAAATGATTAAATACTCTCACCCTTAGACAGTGCGCAATGTTTCTTGTGTAGTTTTTATAAGTAGAATTAACTAGGCCGACTGCAATTTACATTGTTTTAAGGGTAAAAAACGGTTTATCTCGATTTCCGGCAAAACTACAAGTCCTATCGAAGAAAGTTAAATGGCAAAGTTGGAGGTAATAAAAAGATCTAAAACTTTTGTATTCACACATTTTTCACATAACCTCAAAATTTATGTGAAAAATTCTAAAAACCAAGTTTTTGGTTTTTTATTTTTATCTTTAACAAAATTTTTTTTTTTTAACGAAATTTGGTGAAAACTTACCTTTCTATGTCCCAAATACACTGTAATTTATTTGATTAAAAATATTTATTTGTTCACCTTATTTTGAATTAATATCGAAAAAACACCCTAATTTTCAATCGAAAATTCTGACGTCAAAATTTCAGCTTTTTTCAAAAATTTATATTACCATAGTAAATCTTCTCAGAAAACGCAAAAAATCGTATGGAGTAACGCCCAGACCTGTCATCCCCTTCCTTACTTCTCTATGAAATAAGAAAATTTTAGCCCATCTAAAGGCTAAATTTTTTTTTTTAGGTCACTCAGGTATATATAAGTTATCTTAAAATAGTAATAAATAGGCATCTGATTATAATTTAACCCTAGATCACTAAACTTTTTTTTTTCAAACTCTGTCACTAAACATTAGTCCTACAAACTAACAAAATAAAACCGCAATATTTATCAAAACTAGAGTATTTATTTAGAAAAAGTCTACTTAAAATATGGAATGTCTTTTAAATTACCACATAATAAAACAAAAAGGTTAAAAAAAAATTATTCTTGGCAGTCGGCACACACTGGAACCGTATGTTCCCCGCAAATCGCCGTCTTGCAGCGGCTGCAAACATATTTAGTCATCCTGTGTTTTTTGTAAGGACAAAAAGAACATATTTTACGCTTATTTTGTTGCGCTTGAGAGGTACTAGGAGTAGCATCTTCAATTTTTAAAATATCTTTAATACTAGCTTTTATATCCCTCCTCAAAGTGACAGTGTTATACCGCTCTCGTAACCATGGCTCTATGAGCTTATCGGCTAAACTTTGGACGAAACTCCTACGTCTCATTGGTTTTTGCCGTTCTCTGACCATGTTCGACACATAGATGACATATGAATTAATTAGGCACAGGTTCAAGACATTATAAAACACGCATTGAGGCCATCTATTGGTTTTGCGATTGACACATATAGCTGAGCACATTTGGTCGACAGTGTCGACAGCACCTTTGGTACTATTATAAAAATGTATAATTTCAGGCTTTTTCGAAGTGGAGTTAATGTCTGGCTGACTGTGTACTGTCGAAAGAAGAAATACTGTCTTGTTAGATTTTGGTTTATACGAGACCAGAGTCTTCTCACCATCAAATGCAAACATCGAAGTATGAATCTTTCTTGATTTTTTGTTTTTCATCTCAGGTGGAATCTCTCGCTTATTACTACGTATTGTCCCAACAAGTGTGAGTTTATACGGGTCCTGAAGTAATTCTGAAGCAAGTGGCACTGAAGTGAACCAGTTGTCCATCGTAATATTTCTGTTTGTCCCATAGACAGGCTCACAGAGTTGTTTCACAAAATGTGTGGCAAGAGGCATATTATCGCAATTGGTTCCTTTACCCAAATAAGGCGTAGCATTGTATACGTACTTTGAATTAGAATCTGCAACCATTACAATTTTTATGCCGTACTTGTTAGGCTTATTGGGTATATAAATTCGAAATGGGCAGCGCCCTCTGAACCCAACT